AGCGGCTCCTTGTGGGCGGTATCAGAAAGGAGGAAGCTGGCTCGGATTGGGCCGCGGGGCTGTGATGGGCAGGCGCCCCGTCACGTGGGGGAGCTGTTTTGGTCACGTGCCTCCGAGCGCGAGCGTTTGCGGGGAGGAGGGCGGGGGCGCCGTCGTCGTGGCAACGGAGGAGCGCGGGCAGCCGGGCCTGGCCGGCGAGGTCTCCCAGCATGCATTGCGCGCCAGCCCCAAGTGATCTCACCGACACGGGGCTGCTTCCAGCATGCACTGCGGCTTTGAAGGGGACAGCTCCCAGCATGCACTGCGTGCCAGCCCCTTTTGATCTCACTGATACAGGGGCCAGGCTTCCCTTGGGAATTAACTGCTCCCAGCATGCACTGCGGTCTTCAAAGTGCCTGTTCCCAGCATGCACTGAGGCGTTAGACAGGCCTGCTCCCAGCATGCACTGCGTGCCAGCCCCTGATGCTGGGACCAGGCTTCCCTTGGGAACAGACTGCTCCCAGCATGCACTGCGGGCTTGAAAGTGCCTGTTCCCAGCATGCACTGAGGCGTTAAAGAGGCCTGCTCCCAGCATGCACTGCGTGCCACCCCTGACTTGGGGACCAGGCTTCCCTTGGGAACGGACTGCTCCCAGCATGCACTGCGGTCTTCAAAGTGTCTGTTCCCAGCATGCACTGAGGCGTTAAAGAGGCCTGCTCCCAGCGTGCACTGGGGCCTGGAAGAGGCCTGCTCCCAGCATGCACTGGGCTAGAGTCAGAGTTAAGGTTGTCCTTGATTATCACCTGTATTCGTATTTTTTATTCTCGCCTCCAGTATAACAAGCTTTCTTGCGCCTGGTTCTCGAATGGGGAGTACTAAAAGGCAGTCTAGAGGCGCACCTTAGAGGCTAACTGAATCAGAGGGGCATAACCTTTCATAAGCCACCTCACAAAAGCATCTCTCTGTCTTTCTCTCTGGCTGCACGTTACATTTATTACGCCATTGTGGCGACTCTTTGTCGTCAGACCCTGAAGTCAGCATCCTAGGCCTCGGGGTCGGCATAGGGATCAGGGCGGTCAGGCTGATGGCCTAAGCCTGCGCTGTACCCACAGTTGTGGAGGTGGATGTTCCCTGAGGGTAGCACGCGAGCCGTAACCCCGAGTCGGGGCAGCGGCACGAAGACCTAACGGCTGGTGAGCGGACAGGGTGTAGGGGAGGCGGAGCCCCGAGAACCACCGTGGCGAACCCGTGAGTATCCCGTCTTTGGGTCCAGGGGGAAGGAACACCACTGAACCCCTTCTTTACATTTTCCATCAAGTCGTGGCAGGAGAGTTGGGGGACCCAGACCACGGAGCAGGAATGTACTCGCAGCGCCAACTGGGGGCGCCACAGCCATTCACCGGTGAATCGTGGACTCCGTTTAGACCGGCCCTAGGGACAAAGTAAGAGTGGCCACTCGTGCAAAGTAATTACCACACAATTCATTGGTTAATCAGGCCATATATTTAGACCAGCCACACGCGCAAAGTAATCATCACACGCTTAAAATGACTCCAGCTATAAAAATAGTCAACTAGCTACAAAGTTAGTGCTTGAAAATGTGTCACAACTCTATAGGTGATTTCTATCCAACTTTAATTTGAGCGTGTAGTAGGGCCCTCTGGTCTCACAGCTTTCAATCTCCTCTCGTCTTACACCATCTCCTTCCACCTTGGCACATCTTCGCCTATCTCGTCCCGATCAGTTCTTACGTTCACTTCCCATCGTTGCCTTGGTCTGCCTCAAGGTCCGATACTCTCCACCGCAGCATCCAAAACCCTCCTCACATGTCTTCTCTCGTCGTTTCTTGCTATGTACCCTGCCCATGTCGTTCTCTGCACTCCTATCTTGCTCAGGACATCCAATCTTTTGTAAAGCTCTGCAAGCTCTTGATCATGTCTTCTCCGTACGCTGTTTGCTTGCACTGCACCAGATATTTTCTTGAAGTACTTTTCTTTCAAGTGCTCACAGCCTTTTTCCATTTGCTTTTGTCAAGCATTCAGGATTCACATCCATAGAAAAGCACAGATTGAACAATTGTACTGTAAAGCTGGATGTTAAGATTTCTTAAGGTTTGGTCCAGGCCCAACAGGCATATACTAGCACTGCACATTCTTGCCATGTAGTCTTCAGCCATTTGATTGTCCTCAGTAATTATTGTTCCTAAATATTTAAATTTCTCTACCTTTTCCACATTGTCAGTCCCTAGCCATATCTTCCTGAGATTTATTGATTCCTTGCTGACATTGATAGCAAGCCTAGCATCTTTGGCATTTGACTTATGATATCTGTATGCACCTCTGATTCAGTTAGTCTATAAGATCTACCATACCTCCTGCCTGACTTAAGACTAACACAACTAACTACCTCTGTCCATTTACAGGCAACCCCCACTTAACGCTGTTTTGCTTAGTGCTATTTTGCTATAATGCTTGTGTTAAATTGATACCTGATTCCACTTAGCACTCAGCACATTTCATTATAACATTCGTGGTCACTATCTTGGGTCATTAAAAACACTTGTGGTCGCCATCTTGGGTCGTCAAAAACTTTTGCTTTCGCTTAACACTGGTTTCGCTTAACGCTCGGTTTTTCAGGAACCAATTAAGAGCGCTAAGCAGGGGTTACCTGTATGTTGAAAGGAAAACTGATAAAATGTCTGAACAGGAAAACAACAGCAATGGGATAGTATTAACAATAAGTTAACATATCCAGAAATAAGAATTTGTTGATGGGAATTCTGGCGACTTCAGTGGCCTTAGGTTCTTTTTATTCTGGGAGCAGGAGACTAGGAAATACACCCAGCAATACAAAACCTGTGACACGACTGAAAGAACTGGCTGTATAATTCAAAGACTCTGCCCTTTGCTTCCTCGTTTGGTCAAAGAGTGTGTTGCTGCAGGCTCCAAAACAGTCAATACATAAGGTACCACATTACCTGTAATACTGAAATGAGCTGAGGATGGAGTTTCAGTCTTACCCTTTAATTTCATGACTTTTGACAGATCAAGTCTGCCCCCATGTATTGTACATAGCTACTGAACTTGAAGAAAAACTGAATACAGAGATATTTCATGTCATATTATGTAGGAGCCTTTGTAAAGGGTTGAAGGCTTAGCAAAATGTAATTCTAAATTTCAACCAAACAGGGAAGCTAATTGTTATCCACTCATGTATGTTTGATGATCCTGGAAATGACTAAATTAAGAAGGGAGGCAGTGCCAGTTTTTGATCTGATTTTATCAAATGTGTAGATATGCAGCACTTGCAACTCCATTCCCAAATCCTCAGTCCTGCTCTCACACAAATGCAATGTATTGCAACACCAAATATGTTTACAAAATAATCACATGACTTTCAGGCAAGGGATGGAAATGCTTAACAAGCTTGTGTGTCTTGTGTTCGTAGAAAATTTAAGCTCACCAAATCTCCCTGATAAGAGAGCTATTCACTTTAATCATAACCCTGGCCAGAAACCATTTCTTCTAGTCACTTTTTGGAAAACAAAGCCAGGAAAGAATTAGAATGATTGTTAAAAGAATTATAAGTAGCATTTTTAATGGAATAGAATATACCATTCTATAGAAGAAAATATATTTCATGTCTCAAAAACTACTCAGGCAAATTGGATGACAGAGCACTGAAGTTAGCCAGAAGTGGTGTTAGGGATCTATTATGTATGGTCTTTTCCGGAGCCATTAATTGATCAGTTAGTTGACACTCTGTTGAGAGCAGAGCTATCAGAGGGTTCTGTGGGGGTCCCAACCACAGGTCATTATTTACATCCCACAGCATTTTTTGCAAGATCAGATGTGGTAATGCCAGTGCTTTGGCTAAATTCCAGTTCTACCTTTAATTCTCTGCCCACAGATTCAGTTAAATCTAATATTCTTCATTTTCTGTCTCTAAAATGTTGTATGACATTGGTGTGGGCTATTAAACCTTCACTACGCTTCACTAGAAAACAACTGTGTTTCACTGAAAGATAAAATAATTATTGTGTAGGGGATCACATACAGAATTACCCCTTTGTGCACACATTTTACTCCAAGATGTGAAGTTACTGCAACTGCTTGTGCAATTTAGGCACATGAATGTACAGATGTATCTGCTCATGGAATAGGACAAGCAGCGTTCTGAACATCTGGGCTGGGGACAGAAATCACACATAAACTGGTATAAGTGATCCGTAATACAACAGAAGTTCAGTGCACATAAAATGCTTTCAGAGTTGATGAAACAGATTTAAGATAAACCTGGATGGATGTGTGGATGTAGTATCAGACTTAAGTGATTTCAATTAAATTGGTTTATTGAACTTCTGCCCCAGATCCCCTCCAGATTCAAGTTAACTCACAGTCCCCCAGCATCCCAGGATGCTTTGTACCGCCCCCCGCCACCCCACAGGGTGGGCAGGCTACCCTTGGCTAAAGCTGTCTACTCCAGCCAAGCAGGGAGGCATGTTCTAGCACCCCCTGGCTTCTGCCCTGGGCCACTGCAGGCAGATGGCTGTATTTCTGGAATCAAAAGTGAACATCTGTTCACTTGTTTATTGGTTCAGGACTGTATTCATTTGGCTGGAAGTCTGGAAAATGCTGATTCAGAACAAGGTAGTACTGTATAAGGAGACTCGAAAGGGAAGGCCAGGTACTTCAGGTAATGATAAGGGAGATTAAAGTCTGGAGCCACAAAAGTAGTTCAGCATGTATGTATAGCATTAAACCAGTGGTGCTCAACCTTTTTAGACTGATGGTACCCCTCATTAGATTCAAAGCTCCCCTTGGAAAATGCCAGCTCTTTGCTTTCACTCCTTTTTTTTAATATAGAAAGTAATAAAGTAATTCTTCTGCTGAAAGCTCCCAACAGGTCAGAATGGTTTTGACACCATGGA